CCTCTTGTAAGGTTGGTCTGGTTTTAACAAATTCCCTTAGTTTCTGCTTATCTGGAAATCTCCTAATTTCACCATCATATTTGAGGGACAGTTTTTCTCAGCTGGGATCTTAATGAAAGCACACCATCAGGTCTTTCTCCTGTGAGCAGCAGGGTGGGTTTGAACCACCAACATTGTGGTCAGGAGCTGAGACTTAACCGTTGTGCCCCTGGAGCTCCTTTCATGGAACATAACTATGGTGACTAAGAAGAACCAGCTGTGTTATCTTGTATGGGGTTAACTGGGGAGACCGGAAGTTGCCTGGGCCCCACTAGGCGGTTGTCACTAAGGGGCTTTCATGTGGTTGCAGTCAGACTGTAGATGGTCCGGGCCATCTGAAGGCTTCTTCATGCCCATGTCTACCACCTGGGATGGAAAGACTCAAACAGCTGGGAGCCGGAGCAGCTGGGGCTCCACAGGAAGTTTTATTTTTCTATGGTCTCTTTCAGGAGCTCTGGTAGCATAGTGCCTAAGGCACTTGACTGCTAACCAGAAGGCTAGTAGTTCAAACATCAGCCACTCCTCGGAAGGAAGATAGGACAATCTACTTCCGTAGTGATATTGCCTCGGAAACCCAAGGAGGGGTCGTTATGAGTTGGGTCAGACTCGAGGGCACATAACAATAACATGGTCTCTTTCAGATGCTGCAAGCTTATGGGGGCAGCATGATGACTTCTGGGTGGCCTGACTTCTGACACAGGGAGACAGGCAGTGGTTTGCTGGCGCCAACTTGCACCGGCTTGTGAGAGCCAGCTGTACCCAATACCATAGTTCAGGGACCTAATGCTAGCCCATAGCAACCCCCACTGGGTTTCCATGGCGGTAAATCTGTACGGAAGTAGATTGTTCCATCTTCCTTCTGTGGAGTGGTTGGTTGATTTGAACCGCCAACCTTCTGGTTAGCAGTCAAATGCCCTAGGCACTGCCCCACCGCACCAAAAAAGCCCAAGCTCACTGTCATCGAGTAGATTGTGATTCATAGCGACCCCCATTGGGTTTCCAAGACTGTAAATCTTTTATAGAAGCAGATCACCCAGTGTTCCTTCTGCAGAGTGGCTGTTAGGTTTGAACCACTGACCTTCTGGTTAGCAGCCAAGTGCTTTATCCACCACACCACCAGAGCTCCTTATTTAACCTACAGAAATCAGCAAATGCTGTAAACGTGTGCTCGCCCACTCCTGCAGAGCCTGTTGTTGGGCTTTTAGCAGCACAGCACTGGACTCGGCCCCAGAGGCGTACACCACAAAAACCCGCCCAGCGTGAAGGGGCAGGGGCGAGGATTCCACCTCTTAATGGGAGTGGCAAAGTCCTGGAAGCGCACACATGCTCTTAATAGGAAATTTTGGAAAATCCAGACTGTCATGGGTCCCTGGAGACTCAGTGCTAGCAGCAGGACACCATGACGACTGGTAAGAATGCCCCCCCCCACACACACACACACAGCGTGTGCACGCTCCCAAACACTGGCAGCAGGCAATGCTGTGCCCCAGTCATCCCAGGCTGCCCCAGCCAGGAGCGGGCATTCAGCTGTGTGGATGTGGTGGGTCCCAGGTGCCTTGTGGCCCTCAGCCGAATGTTCCTAACAAGCATTTTATAAGCATTTTCTAAGAGCTGGTGGATTTGCTGAAAAAAAAATCACCAGATGTTTCAATGCAGTTAATAGCCACCCTGGGAAAAGCACAGCTTAGTCTCTCCCAAGTCTACCCACACCTTCAGTCTCTCCATACCGGGAGTGAAGGGAGGTGGGGGGCAGGATATTTGGGCCACGTTCATCGACCATTTGCACCAAGCAGGCTTCTTTCTGTTTGAAAAATTGTAGTCAATTTATAACAAGAGCTGACATGAATTGAGCACTTACTGGGTGCACTTGCACAGCCAGCACTCAATCACTCAATCTTCTTAACCCAGGGCCACCTCAGAGGCTCAGAGGCAATGCATGATGGGATTCAGTGAGATAACGCAGCACAGTCGCTGGTGAAGGGCCCAATAAATGTCACTAATAAACCCACTGCCATCAAGTCCATTCCGACTCAATGACCCCATAGGACAGAGTAGAACTGCCCCATTGGGTTTCCAAGGCTGTAGATCTTTGTGGAAGTAGATTGCCTCATCTTCCTTTTGCGGAGCTGGTGGGTTTGAACTGCCGCCCTTCTGGTTAGCAGCCAAATGCCTTATCCACTGTGTCACCAGAGCTCCTTGAAGGTGCAGCAGAGAGGGGAGAATTGTGGGACCCTGGCCTGGAGTAGGTGGGAGGAGGAGAAGGGTCGACGTAGACAGGAGCAGCTCCAGCGGGAAAGGCAGGGTGTGGGCATAGGCCCAGGTAAGTGGGTAGACAGGAGCCTGTGACAGTTCTTGTCTGATGGCTTGTATTTTTCCTGCAGTAAGAAGCAAAGTCGTCAGGTGAGAGTGAAGTGGGAGGCGGGAAGGACAGGTAAGAGGTGGAGGGAAAAGGCGTGCAATGGTTGCCTAGTAAAGAGGGAGCAGAAGGACCTCTGGTGGCATAGTGGATAAGGTATTTGCTAATCAGAAGTTAGCAGTTCAAACCTATCAGCTGCTCCGTGGAAGGAAGATGGGGTGACCAACGTCCATAAAGGTGTACAGCCTTGGAAATCCAGTGGGGGTTACTATGAGTCAGAACTGACTCCATGGCAGTGAATTTGGTGGGTTTTTTTTTTCCCCCCCCGAGAGGGTGCGGGAGTGCACAAGAGAAATGTAACCTGAGTTGCAGGTAGCATTAGAGACCCACCTGAAGGTCATGTTAACAAACTTGAACAGCCAGTGTGCTGTTTGCTAGCTACCTGAAGCTGTGCCAGTACGAACCAACCCCCCATAAAGCCTATTATATTAAAAACTGGAGATACATATAATAGTTCATAATAAAAAACAGATGTTACTCTGCAACAGGCATCAAAACATAATTATTACTACTGTATTATGATGTCAAAGATGTTTTACTGTATCTGGAAATGTTTAATTTTTTATGCTTAGAAAAGTACACTATATACCAAGACAAATATTTGACTGACATTAGCTGCAAACCATGTTCCCTCTTACTTACAAATTCCACTTCAAGACAGACTTAGGAACAAAATGGGTTCATAATCTGGGGACTGCCTGTACTGTGATGGCTTGTGTGTTATAATCCTGGAAGCTCTGTCACTGGTATGTCAGAGACCAGCAGGGTCACCCATGGTGGAAAGGTTTCAGCAGTTTCCATACTAAGAAAGACTAGGAAGAAAAGCCTGGCAATCTAGTTCTAAAAATTAGCCACTGAAGACCTCATGGGTCACAACAAAGCACTGTCCACCTCACTTGCTTTGGCTCAGTTGCTAGAGAGGAGGACATGTGTTTGATGAAGCATGAGGTCGTGGGATACCCATGGTGAGGTGAATTGGCACAGTAGCCAAAAGGATGGGCACAAAATTGCTGGCGATCATGAGAATGAAGCAGGACCAAGCTTGGTCCAAGTCATGGTCAGGCCAGCAGAGGCCTTTTGGTCCGGGGCAGGAAATAGAAGGTGTGGAGGATAAGCTAACTGCTCTCTTTCCTGTGGTGCCAAGCGGTAGGAGATGGGTGCCCAGTTTGTTTTTTTTTTTTTTTTTTTTTAGGATTTGGGTGAAGATTTACAGAGTAAATTCACTTTTCATACAGCAGTTCACATATACTTTGTCTCATGTCATTGACCAAAATTTAC